TTCTCTTATTGTTCGTTGCCCTGCTGTTCCGAGTGCACAGATTGGTTTTAGCCTCGAGCCCAACTGTCACTGAAATGAAAAAAAGTATTAAACTGTGCCATGCTCCACATGGATTTACCATTACCATCATCTAATGCTGACGGCAAACACCATTAAAAATAATAATAATAAAAATATATAAACCATATGCTTTATGGTGTAAAAAGTGACAGGTACACAAACAATTCAACATCACCTTGATGGGAGCAAAAGCAGAATAACTAAACAGCGCCGCTGACTCATTTGCAGTCACAGAGTGTTAATGGCTATGGATATGCACCTCCTGCATGTATGTCTGCGTTTTTTTCCACACAAAAGGTTGGAAAACAGGAAACCTCTTCAAACACAGCAACAAAGCAAAAAAAGGCTTCATTTCAACACATGTAAATCAATTAGGCTGGAACATGAGAGCTGGTGTGTCACACTGCCGCTTTGTCTGCTCTCTGTCCAGTGTCTACTCTCAGAGATGGGCTGGTGCTGGGAACGCTGCCAGCTACATCCAAACTATGACTGGGCAAACAGTGCTCCCACATCCACGCTATGCTGCCGACTGCAGACGTAGCCCCGAGTAATCAGTGGCACGTTTAATGTAACAGCTAGCCCCCATCTATTCTACCCACTTATCAGAGTTCACCACAGTCTTTTTGGATTTCATCCAGAAAGCTGTTCAGCCCAGGTGGTAAGACATCCAGGTCTCACGATCAATTAACATAGTAGATAACTGCCTAAACACCAGCTAAATGTATAACACGCTGCCACAGCTCTGTTTCAGCGAAGGAAGAAGTCAATTTGAGGATCAATAGAAACATTTGCTCAACATTAATTTTTGAAATCTAAAAAGCAAACAGTTAAGAGAATAATCAGCAGTTGCCTCCAAAGAAACTGTATAAATGTTTCCCCTGATTTACTGCTATGTTAGAAATCTGTTTTTTCATATTTATGTGGGTGGAGTTTCATATTATATCAGTTAAATGTGTTAAGCATCAAACTTGTTTTTTTAAACCTAACAAATCTTAAACCTGTATGTAGCATCCTGGAAGTTTCTTCCTGTTAAAAGGGAGTTTTTCCTTCCCACTGTCACCACAGTGCTTCCTCATAGGGAGGCATATGATTGTTGGGTTTTTCCTCAGTATGTGTTATTGTAGTACTTTTGCTTAGTTGTGTTATGGTTGCGTTAGTTTCCTCTCTTCTCCATGTGCAAAGCCTCTCCCTGCACACCAAGCCAAATTTTACTTTCTTCCATAAAAGATAATTTTACTTTTCGCAATTTACCGAAAGAAGCCTCCTGACTTTACTGGAAGTGCAATAAGAGCTTCACAATTGCTAATCTGTCTACAATGACAGAGGATAACGACTCTTTCAGATCAGACTTAAAAGAAAGACAGAAGCTGACAGCTAAAAGCACTGACATTGTCATCCTCACATCCCCATAGCCCACCCACTAATAAAAAAAAGAAGTCAATCTTGGAGAAACAATGCCTACAAAAGCACTTCAAACACCACCCTGCCCTAGATTAGCCCTCAATTCTGATGCCCTATTATTTCAGCGGAGCATACCATTTCACAAGAAGTAGCCAGAAAACTTTTGAACAGCTCTTATCAGTGAACATGCCTAGCTCAAGTGTCCTTGAAAAACCTTAATCCCCATCAGCTCTGGGAATGCCGCTCGGCACATGACCTCTGACCTTCCTGAGGAGGGGGTACGGTGAAGGAAAACAACTGAATAATCACAACGGCATCTCAAAAAACGAAAGAAGGAAAAAAATATCCTAGTGAGGGCTTTATTCCATCAACTGCAAAGGGGCGAAATAATCTTTAGCGTGTTTACAACATTGTGTGCCAATATATATGAAAATACAAATTCAAGGTGAGAAGAATGAGAAATAATAGATTCATTACAGCACTGGATTTTCCCCAGAGCGGTCTTAAAGTCCATGATATTGCTTTTTCACACCTGGGGATTTGCCTGCTTAGCTCTTCATCCAGCAGGTCTATTGCATTTCTCTTGAGGTAGTCTTACAAAATTGTTTATTTAGCATGAGAGTGACAAGGAGGGAGAGGTTTAAAGTGCCGGGATGAGCGCAGGAGGAAGGCTTCCATGTACAAGTGTGAGAGCGACTTGACGTCTCCGAGGCCAAGAGACTCTGAAACCATCCTTAGGGGGCAGCCGTCCACGCGCCGAATCTGTCCCTGCACTTGCTTTCAACAGCAGCGCCTTTATTGTTCAGGAAGGTGGGCGCCCTCCCCGCCCCTGCGCTAAGCAACGCTGACCACAGGCGTTAGTGGGATTTGTGTAGGCACGCTATTGCAGCACAGAGCACGCTGGCTTTACAGCCTTGGTGAAGCCATCAAGGAGAGTATATGCTTTAGTGCACACGTAGGCGTTTCTTTTGTGTGGTAATGAAACTGAGGCAAGACTTGGTGAAAATGAGTAGGAGAGGGGAGATGCTGTGCAAGATGTCTGAAAGGAAGCAAGAGGTGGTTACGCACTGAACGTGGAAGGAAAACTGCACGCCGTCTCCATTCGGCTTACCGGGGTGAAGCACAGAAGAGTCCTAATCTGGGTCTAAATATAAGCACCTTTTAAATGTGCCTGCAAATGAATAAACAGAAACTGCACTGCAAGTTGCTCGTCCTGGGGTTGCCTCCCAGCAACACACTTAATCCACGCATTGCAATGTCACACTTTGCTTACTGCTGGAAACAGTCCTGCACCCCTGCTGCTGCTGCTGCATCAGTAAAAAAAATAAAGAGTTGGATATTAAAGGAGGATTAGTGTTTTGGAGTCCAACTAGATCACTGGGACATGTCAGGAAATCATCTTTGAGGATGCTTGATTTAGATTTCATCAGCACATGTAGAACACACTGTATGTGTACTTGCTGTGTAACACACCGTGACTTTGTTCACAAGCAGCAGATGAAATCAGTTCTCCAATATGTTGCGAGTCCTCGAGCATGAGCAACTCTAACCTGATGTGGAGTGGGTATTTTAGCCTTTTTTCTCAGCTCTCTATAGCGTTTGAAGTGTGGCTTTTTTTATGCTTTTGTGACTGTGATGATTATGAGAGTTAATTACATCCGCAGTGCTTTTTTATTCCAATTAAAGTATCTGGTTTGATGGTGTGCCTGCCATGCTCCTCTGGAAAAAAAAAAAAAGAGTTACCTAAGAGGGGAAAACAGACCAGGAGTGAAGCCACTGTTGAATTTCTTCAGAAATGTGTAACAGGAGTATGATTGTTTGTGTTTAGTGGTGTGTGTGTGTTTGGGGAGGGTCAGTCATTTAAAAAAAGAATAATAATAATAATTTACAAGAGCAACTGCCTCTGCAGTGGCATGTTTCAGAAATTTAGGGCCATTGCTTTCTATGCAACATGATTATGATCATGGAACCCTGTTGGCGGGTGTGTGTTTTGAAGGGGGGGGGGGGGGGGCAGGAGAGGAGGGGAGGAGGTAGAAGGGGTACTCACCACATGAAAGCGCCGCCACACAGATGAAGAGAGTCCATCTGAAATCCCGTACACCTGACATGGTAGAAATCCCTGCAGGAGGATGTTAAATCCCAGCTGTTGCAGTAGCCGATTGAGGGTAAATAAACCTCTCTGCAGGTGTTAGCCTCCACACGACGCTGTTGCAGTTCTTCGAGGGTCTTAAGTTGGATAATGCGCAATAGACAGAAATGCAACTGCACGAGTGTCTGAGCGGCAGTGAGTCCGATGTAAATTGGAGGTCTTCAGAAGCAGAAATGTTACTGGCCAGTCTTCTCAGAGTCTTTGCGAGCAGCGAACCTAGGGCACGGCAAAACCGCGTCTTCTCCAGGCAACGCGGAGCGTTTCCCCCACATCAGAGAGCAAAAAGTTCCAACTATCCTGATCCAACCCGGGCAGCAGGGAGGGAAAAAACAGTGTTCCACAAACGGACTCGAGTCCTTGCGCGAGACTCGATAAATGGCCCCCCACAAAAAATATTATAAATCAATGGACATCAGTGGAGAGGTTACGCGCGCCCTGGCTGGAACCACGGGGATGCTGCACGCGTTCTCCAAAAAGGATCAGACTTGTCTGAGCAACAAACGGCAGGGAAAGAGCAGCAGAGTGTCCCTGTGAGGTTAGTCATTCTCCAATTAAAAATTCAAACATGAAATTCCTTGCGCAAATCATGGAAACAGTGTAGAGAGGGGAGGAAAACAACAAAAAAGAGGCATCCGACGGATCCGCACCGTTCTTGCTCAGCTGACACCGACTTCTTCTGCTTTTATTCAACGTCCACGGCCGAGAGAAAAAGGTGGGAATGCATTCTGAGCCGTGGAAGGTGAAATTGCAGCTCTAATCAAGCCGAAAAGGTCTGAGTTGGCCGCAAAGACCCGCTTTCCACCCTCCCCTCTCGCTCCAGCTCCCTCACGTTTCCAGTAGTTCACCTACCGCAGCGCGATGCGACGGGAATCATCACGCGTCCGCTGATTTTAAAAAACAAAACAAAGAAGGGCACAAATATCCAGAAAGCTGACACTTTTTAAAAATTGAGTTACTTTGTGATGTTAAGACCGAGAGCCCGAGCGGAAAATCGTCGGTGCCGCTTACCGGGAGTCTGAAACAGAGCCAAGTCCGAAGAAGTCTCCAGTTTGGTGTGTAATTTGTCACCCGGCTTGAGCGCACCTTTCTCAGGTGTTCCTCCGGCAGAAGCAGCTGCTGTGCCCGCTGTCCTCCCCTCAGCAGCCCCGCTCTGGGATTTTAAGTCCGCTCCAAACTAAACGTGCTCACCTTAAAATGTCCAGAGTCGCAGCTCCTGGTCATCAAGCCCGCTGTGGGGTAGAAGACGTGTCCGGAAGTTCCTTTCAAAATAAAATAAAATAAATTAGCCTACGTTTAATTCTTATTTTAAGCGATCTGCTAAATTGAGTCTTATTGCTCATTTCCAGTGGCTTAATAAAAAAATACACCGAATATGACCAGCTTTGACAATACAGCGATGACATCATTTAACCCTTAAAAACGTCACACCCCTTTTTTAATGACGCTGAACGAATATCTGGAATGAAGGAGTTTATACCGAAATGAAACCGGTGACAGGACAGAAGCTGTTAACTTGAGTGTCACCCCTGCCACTCCTCACCTGACCTAAAAGAAGCTAAATGTGTCACAATTAAACCCAGTTTCAAACGGAATTAAATGGAAACACGCGTATTTTGGGGCTTTTGATACACGCGTGTTTTCCAGGTCGACCCGTGGGCTTTAGTTTAGTCTCAGCGTTCAGTTAGTCGCTCCTAAACGTTAGCCCCTTGGCTTTTATCTTAAAAAGCCACACTGAACACTTCCGGTGTGGGCCACGTTAGACGTAGTGAACTTGACTTTGTTCAAATCTGGTATCGCAGACGAAAATTAATCACGTGAGTGCCTCCACACTCCTCCTCTTCATCCGAAGGGGAAAGTATCCTCCCGAAGAAAGAGCCGTCCTCACTCCTGCCTAGTCATGGCCTCACTTTGTGCTTTTGTTTCTGCGTGGATTCTGCTTCACCCCCTGCAGGCTTACATCACGGTAGATGTCTGTGCTAAGGACTGTGTGACCTTTTATTTGATTTTAATGTCATATTTTTGGAGCCTTCTCACAGCTAAAACGCTGACACCAGACACACAGGTGCACCCAATAACAATGAACTCATTCACAGTTTAATTTATCAGGTACACACAGTATCTTTAAGTGGGACTCCCACCTATGACCCTTGTCACAATGCGTGGTTTGCAGTGGAAGGTTCTGTTGCATCAATTAGAAATTCTGCCACTATGTAACTGAATCACACTTTTGCAGAAAACAGACTGGATTTGTTTCAACTTCATGAGGTTGTTCATTTGCATACATGGCAAGCTGCAAACACATTAATACTGACCGATTGTCTTTACTCCAAAATCTGAGACAATATAACAGAATCTCCTCTAACAGAGGCTAAAACACTATAAAACGTATGTCTAGGCAGGAGGTGTCAAACAAATTGGTCAGAACCAGTCTGCTAAAAGCTGCAGTCCGGCCCTTTGGATGGTTATGCAAAGTGTTAAAAAAAAATTAAAGATAATCAGGGAATAACTTCAGTTGTTGGACTTTTGTTTTTGCTGTATTTTCCATCAGAATGGATAATAGGAGCAGCTCTCCCACCGTCCATCCATTTTCTTAAGGCTCAGACAACTACAAGCTCTCCCATCAGCACCTACAGCCAATTTAAAGCCAGCAGTTAACCGAGCATGTTTGTCTTTGGAATGTGGGAGGAAGCCAGAGTAACTGGAGGAAACTCACACAAGCACAGTCCACATAGAAAGGCTGTAACTGCTGCATCGCCCCGAGTGGCTGTCAAAATAGTTCATTTAAGTGCTGCACAAATCTCAATCTTCATCAGTTTTACAGGCGTCTTACTAACAAAGACAATAAGAAAGATTAAAAAAAAGACACAAACCACGTCTGCAATTCCACACTGTAAAGTCTCAGGCTGACTATCATCTGTTTCATGCTGTACTTGTACTCAATTAAATTATGGAGGCTATTTTTATTGGTTGTTATGCAATATCTGTGCTACTTCAGATCGAATTCAGTGAAGTGTTTCAATGTAATTTTGCAGTGAAATTTAATGTAAGTATTTTCCTAATGGTGCAGTTAAAATTGATTCACATAATAAATTATATGCACATTGTTAAGTTATCAGAGCTGAAGTAGGGTGTCAGTTTCACAATATTTTTGTAGATACTATTGAGAGCTATCAACTCAACACCTCACGTACGATAATGTCTGCTCAAGAAAGTGAGATCGTAAACCTTTTTATACCTTCTTTTTCCTGAAGTCAAATTAGTTTTAGTTATTTGCTGTTAGACTACATTGTACCAATTCTTTATAATGAAAGAGTAGCACTTTTTAAAAAGCAAGAACAATGTCTTCCCATTTTGAAAAAACCTACTGTAAATATTCTAAAAGAGGATGACTCTTGGGAAAAAAAATAAAAATAAAAATAATAAAAGGCAGCAGTAAAAATCAGTTATTATTTGTGGTTTGATAGTTTCAATTTAGGCATTAGCCAGTTGCTAAACAATCCAATCCCCTTTATTTATAGAGCACTTTAAAAGAAATAACATAATTAGTTGATTAAATTGCTTTCCAGTTTAAAGACAGCGATAAAATAAAATAAAAAAAACACAAAAAATGTGAAAAAAAAAAAAACACACAACATAAAAAAAAGAAAAAAATGGAAAAAAACAAAAAAAAAACACAAAAAAAAAAAAAAAAACAAAAAAAAAAATTTAAAAAATGACTAAAACTGATTAAAAGCTCTGGTGTGTTTTTAAACCTGATTATAAAACCGCAGCTCTTGGTTCGGCCTAATACGAGTCTCAACATGGGGACAACAAGGAGCGATTGCTCCGCCGATCTGAGAGACCTTCAAACTTTAAAAGCACACAATAACACTTTAAGATTCATTCCAAGTGTCCTTTGTTTCCCTTCTTTAGCAAAACCTACTTTTGCTGCTTAAAGTTCACCACCGTCACACATGCAGGGCTGCAGTAGTGAACCCTGGTCTCTTTCTCTCTCTGATATGAGAGCTGTGCACTTTGTTCACCTGAATAATCTACTCAGAGAGCACATCACCTCTTGCATGCAAGAGGGAAAACAATTTAGTTGGATAAAAATGTAAAAAAAAATTAGAGGTTACGCCACAAGGATAATCATGCATAATGTTACGTTCTGAGACACGTAAGTGTCCCGCAGCAGCTTGACTCACACACGACAGGGAGATTATTTAAAGTGTGTGAGGGAGGAAGACTACTCTCAGTAGATTTTAAAACAGATTATTGGTTTTACTGCCAATTTTATGACATGTCGCTACACACGACAATAAGCCAGGACTCACATTTCCTATTTGCTCACATGATACCTTCCTATAAAAGAGACAGGAAAGCTCTATTTCCAGTTACAACAACCTCCCTCAAGATGTTAGGCAGGCATGCTCTGTAGAGGTTTTTAAAACTAAGCTGAAGACACATTTGTTCACCTTATCTTACAAGTCTTAATTCTATGGCTTTTAGTTTTTAAATTTTTACTGTTTTTAACTTGTATTGTGTCTTTTACCTGTATTGCTATGTATCACTTTTATTATTTTTTTATCCTTTTAGTTTCAAATAGTTGTACAGCACTTTGTTTGAAAGCACTTTATAAATAAAGTTATTATTATTATTATTATCATTATTATTATTATTATTATTATTATTATTATTATTATTATTATATGCTATTTACAACAATATTATATAGTATTTGACTGATTTGTTTGGAAATGTTACAAGTGGTTAGTTCATCATCAACACATGTGCCATTTCCCCTTTTTGGGACCTTTTGTTCCATCAATCTCTTTGTGTGTGCTTTAATCTCTGTACTGCTCCACTTTAATATAAAAAAACCAAAATAAATGCAAGTCTTTTGCCTCCTCTTTGTCTTTTTTTGTAAATATTAGATTGCTGTTTGTTTGGGAGGAAGAACAAAGCCAGGAAACTGAGCGCACACAGCGTTAGGCCCTGAAACTAGTAACATGTGATGTTGGGAATGTTCAAGCTTTTGGAAGATGTTTCTATTGTGCTGGCTTTCTGTTTGATGCTGGGCACAAAGAGCTCAATGAAGCACTTTTTTCTAGGGTCCAACTTTGCTTTTAAAATAGCCTCAGATTTTCATGGCATTGACTTCACAAGACGTTGTAGCGAACCCTTTGAGTTTCTGCTCCATCCTGAAATGAATGCATTAAATAATTTCTGCAGATTTGTCAGCTGCACATTCATGCTGCCAATCTTTCGTTCTACCACATCCCAAAGGATTTCGACTGGATTTAGATCGGGTGACTGGGGAGGCCACTAAAGTACGCTGAACTCACTGTCATGCATATGAAACCAGATTGCGCTGGCTTATGCTTTGTGACATGCTGCATTATCATGCTGTAAGAAGCCATTAGGAGAGGGTAAAATGTGGCCATGAAGAGATGCACATGGCCAGCAACAATACTTAGACAGACTGTGGTATTCAAGCCACGATTGATCAGGATTCATGCTGATCAGGAAAAGGGACCCAAATGTGCCAAAAAATCTATCCCAGACATCATGTCCTGCTGGGTGTCATGCTGTTGACACTGAATTCTGACCTACCATCTGCATGCCTCAGCCGATACAAAAAATAGGAGTCAAAAATCAGATTCACCAGACCAGGCTATATTTTTTCCATCCACCAACCCGATCTGGTGAGTCTGTGCCTCTGATTGTTGCTCTTGGCTGACAGGACTGCAACACAATGTGGTCTTCTGTTAGCGCCCATAAGCCGCAAAGGCAGAGCATGTTGTGCATCTCAAATAACGCACTCCAAGGAATGTAAAACACATCACCAACGTCCAAGTGAGCCAGCACAAACTGTTCATATTTGACTTGTTTATTGGTTCGCATCACAGTATGGTTCCATGTTTCAGTACAGCGCTTTCATCAGAAAGCTAGTTAGGGCCAATTATTTAGAAATCTGATGCTCTTTTTTCCCTGAATCTAATGACAATCACACGTATATAACAAGACCATTCAGAGTGCAACTCCCCCCGAAGGGCAAAGGCTATTCATAGAGCATCATATTGGAAAAAATAAAATATGTGTTGTGCAGTTCTCTCCAGGCCCTTTCATATGATATATTACTCAATATGGTTTCTTGACATTTTTTTTTCATGATCAACAATGGAGGTCAAGGTCAAATGCTTAGCCAACCCAAC